GGGGGTTAGAGCAATCGGGCTGACTACTGTGTCTTACTTTATTTCACGAAGCTGAGAAGGGCTTTCATGACTTGATTAAAACAAGTCAAAACTGGAAAGTCTCAATCCAAACGTAGGAATACTTTAAAACTGGAGTGTCGAGAGCGGAGGTAAGAGTATCAGGTAGCCATGACATAGGAAGCCTCAGGCCCACGCGTGCCTGATGGCCCCTCAGCTTTCACCTCCTACTGACACCATTGAGAAAGCTTCAGGAAAGGAATCAAGCTGCGGAGTGGTGAATTTGGTGAAGCCCTTTTAGAGGATCTTCCCCAGTCTTTCAAGTGTGCTGGTCATCCAGGATATCTTAAGGCCCTTCCTTCTTCCAACTCATGCCTTGGAGGCAGGGGAAGTGATTGACCTTTCTGAGTACCTCCCATAGAATGCTCATTTGTTCAACACATAGGACCCCCTAAAGAAGTTGTCACAGTCCCACCCTAAGGGTGAGAACATGGAAGTACATGCGCATGTTGCTGGACCCCATCGAGTTGGTCTGACACAGGGGCCCAGTGCACAGAAGCCCCTTTTTCTAATCCTGCTCCGTCTTCACATGTTTTACCTATGTTTGAGCCATTGTCACAGCCACTATGTCAAATGTATGTTATTGAGGGCCTTCCTCTTCTTGCCGATCCTCTACCAAGCATGAGGTCCTTCTCTGGGGACTGGACCACCTGAGAACATGGCCAAAGTCAGTGAGATGAAGGCTCATGGTCCTCATTTCTAGGGAGCATTCTGACTGTACAGAGAGCTAGACAAGAGAACTAGAGCAAGGGTTCACACTCAGGTTGAACTAGGTCAGAAGTGGACCTTGATAGTCGTTCTCAGCATCGAGGTTACCAAGAAATGGGAGTACAAGAGAGGCAGGGTCACTGGGGTACCACACGTTCTTGCACATGGGCTGGTCTGCATGGCTGTCGACATGTTGGGTTGGGTACCCATGTCTTTGATGGTTCTGCATGATGGTACGGTGACCTCTCTTGCTTTCCACAACATATGGCCACTGAGAATGGGGATAGGTGTGGGGGATTTGGGGAGTATGAGAGCAACTCTTCTGATGGTGACTTCTTTCTTAGGAAGGAGGGAGCAGCTTGGTTTTAGGGTGTCAGTGCCCTGGGGCTTCGTGCACGTTGGCAGGAGGGATGGTGCATGGTGTCTGTGGATAGATATTTGGCGTGGGGAAAATGCATGCTGAGTTCTGAAACTGGATGAAGGTTTTTTTGACAGGAGTCTAAATGAAGAGTTGAGTTTAAAGCTATGTCTGCCTTTGTGAATGGACTCCCCAGGCTGACCTCATCCAGCCCTGGGAATGCTATTAACAGGAAGCAGGAAGTCTCTGGACCACATCTCAGACATTGTGGTTATCCTTAGCATCAATAGCCATGCACAGCCTTGTATTTATGTGTGATGCACATTAATATACTTTCCGGAGAAAAATTAGGTGTCATTTGCTTGATGCATAAGATGGGCCCCTGGTAAGGTTGTGTGGCAAGCAAACCGCAACTTAGATGAACAAACGAGACATGCTACATGGACAGTGGAATGGTACAAGCAAAGTGAAGAGTTATGTGGGGGATATCAATAACCCTCTCCAGTCCCCCCCTTTTCTATTGGTTGTTCGAGTAGCTGTTTTCCACCTGCTCTGCTGTTATTTCCTGGCCTTCTGTAGAGTGTTTATCTAGAGATCTCAGGCAGAGTCTCTGTTAGTTTCCACTATGTGTCATTCAGGCACCGAGGTGCTATTACTCTGTCATTTAGCTAAGAATTTCCTTCATCATCACAATGTCAGTACCACCTAGGAATATTACCCAGGCACTTCCGTGACCCTCACTGTGGTTTTCAAATGATTGGATTCTGGCTCCCTTATCAATTCTTCATTCTTCAGTGCTTACTCCTGTTGCCTGGTTTCCCACCCCACTTTGAGGCTCACGGGCTAAGGTACGCAGGGCGCCGTCGTTCATCTCTCTCCATAGGAGTCCCTGCTCTGAGTTCTTCCTTTCCTGGTAAAAAATGAGCAAGCAAGCAAACTAACTTTCCCTCTGGAAGATGAGCCTGCCTCGACGGCAGTTGCTTCTCCCTGGTGACCCATTTGGGAATAAGGGTCAAGATTCAAAATGTCTGCTGAAATGTCAAGTTGAAAGGCTATTACTTCCTTCTCTGATTGCACAAGGCATCTCCTCCTGCTACTGACACATACAGGACCTGTCTTAATTCTAGGAAGGGCCTAGCTGTAGCTAGGACAATGGCCAGACTCAATGTCTCAAGGCATATAGCCAGCCGTACATGTGCCCCAGCCCAGGCACCTGCTTAGAGAACAGCTTGTAGGCATGCCCTTGACAGCAGAGTGCTAGAAGCCCAGGGGTGTCACTACACCCAATCAAGCCCAGCTTTACTAAGGAGTCAGAGTTCATACCTGACCCTTTGTAGGCCCCAGACAAACACGGGAAACTTGAGACAAGCTATTCCTACTGCGTGCTGGTCTGTTTCAGCTATTGCTGAGGCTCAGAGGGGGGACCTGGCTGTCATTGAAGGGGTCCAGTTTATCTGGAGTACTGGAGACTGCAAAAGAATTTTGATGGAGTGAAAACATCACTACACTTTAACAACCCTGAACTTGTGGAATCCGATGTCCACCTTCTTTCAGTTATTCCAAATCTTGTCATTTAAGGTGGGTATGACTGGCATTTGGGGGAAGCCCGACACAATTCTCTGTGTTAAATCCCTCTTAAGGACACAGTGCCTGATGCCCTTATAAGTTTGGGGACATCAGTTGTGGTGCCAGGGCCAGTCCTCTGGGTTCTTTCGGAGGGATTTATCAGAGATAAGCATGGTAGCTCATCTTTGAACACCTAGCTCCCTTAGCCCTTTTCTTTATGATGGTCTGAAAATAGAATTTCTCACAGCAGAGGAAGCCCCAAGGAGCGCTTGACTAAGTTACCTGGAAGATGTGCAAGCTTCTCTCTTCAAGGGAAGGAGTGAAGGAGAATCAAGGGAAGATGGCAGAGAAGGG